CCTCCCAGTTGATGGCTGGAAAGGTAAAGTCCCTAGTTCTAGCGAGCACTGTTTGTAGTACTCTCAGTAGGTCATCATTCTTCTGTCCACTGGCGAGAGGGGTTCTGTAGACACATACGATACGCACTGGGTTTTTATCGAAACAGGACATGACTTGGATGTTTTTAGAATCCATTTTAAACAAAGCCTCCTAACTTCCATGATTTTGATGCACAAGAATGGTAACCCCAGCCCCTAATCTTCCATCCGTTCATCCATCGTTTCTGTATGTTATGTGGCTCCCGATCTGTGTAGCTACATTATTGGGACTGCACAAGGTTTTGGTGATGGCAGCTACTGTACACCCTATTGCTCTGGTGGCCAATTGTACTCATTTCACTTGGATGCTGCAAGCATTTCTGTACCAAATCTGTGGTTCATTTGCTTGCAGTCCAAGTCCTCCTACGGCTGTTTTTATCGTGCCATCGGACTTAGGATCCGAGGGGATGACTAGAGTTTTGCCCCGGATGTTGCAGCTGTAATGGTATCCTTGAGGTTCCATGAGGCACCTTGGTTAGAATACTTGACATGCATGCAGGTCAGACCGAAGTGCAGCCTGCTGCCCTCTGGGTTTGAGACTGGCTGCTCGAGCTACCTACCACAGTTACCCAGCTCCTGGTTTTTTTGAGTACCAATTGCTTCTTTATTCACAAGTTATTCGCAGTTCCCCTGGCGCGTTTCCTCCGCCCACATTTCCGCTGAAGGTGCCCCGTGATTCAGCTCTCTTCGCTCCGTTCCTATTGGTACTGAGGGAATTCAGGGCTTTTTGTTTGTGTTTTACTTCTTTCGGCTTTGATGTCCCTGGCAATACCTTCGGAGTAGACCTGCATAGGGATATCATCGCCTTATTCGTTATTTTCTCGACATTTGGTATTTTTACCTCAAGGTGTCCGACCTCCATTCTAACCTTCTTATTGGAGCCGACGTTCACTGTCATACGTGACCCTAAGTACGGCGGACTATCTGGCTCGACGCTGATTCGGCTGACGATTTGTATTTTAATTGTATCCGCTCTAGATAACAGTTGAACCCTCCAATACATGATAGGGAACATAGTCATTATTGGCCGCAGCTGTCTTTTCTGCTTGGCTCGCCAAAGTTCCAAGCGGTGGAAATCGATGGTAGGGACTGTCGCGGGCAACCCGGGCATTCTGATCCTATCTTCTATGTGGCGACCATCCCCCTCTTGTTTGATTTTTCGGCTGCTGGTGACTAGTTCGAGGCAGTTGTGCAGCAGAAGACATCTGCTATCTAGCCCCCGGAGTTTGACACTATTGATCTCTGCTTCTAGTTGCCTGACTCTTTCCTTCGGTGCTGCCAGCTCTATTGTAAACATATCGTCAGCTACCCTCCCGCTCAGACTGTTTGATACTTAAGCTATGCGGACCTCAGTGGTGCGCTTTTCACCTTTTTTCTCACCATTCTCCGAAACCTTAGCCGTTGTGCCGTTACCTTGGATTCCATTCCAAGGAGAGTTCCTTCTTGCATCTGATATATTCGTTAAAGAATAGCTCAGACGATCCCATAGGATTCGTAAGCGTTCGTCTGCGAGGTTTGTGTAACGCCGACAGATCCATCTGAGGGATTTGCTAACAGTATGCAGTTGGAAATCGTTTTTGTTCAGTTCAGTGCAAGGTTGATGATACCAGCAGCGACATCTGTCGCACAGTATGCCTTCAGCCACGGACCCACATAGCCCTTTACTATATTGGCGTGTCATTTTTCTAGTTACTGATTATTTTGTGAACAAACGGTACCGTATACGACTAGTCGAAAGCAATTCGAAATGCCAATAAATACATGTTAAACATTCCGCTCTGATAACATGCAAGTAAGTTTGTATAGGAGTGAAACAGTCAAAATGAGCATAGATACACCGATATAGTACCACTAATGCTAAGAATGTACAAATAAGCTGAAAATTCCTATAGGAACTTAAGTACCTCCTAAAAACTCACAGAAATGTATCCACGACTAAATTTAACCCCGCGGCGTCAAGGTCAAGGTCAGGACAAAAGATAACCAACAAATGATCTCAGCGCGGCGCTACATTGACAGAGATGTTTGAGGTATTTGTAGTTGGCTGTATTGAACCCATCGGTGAGCCAACTATTTCGTGGTACATTATTCACCGCTTTGGCGAGTACCATATCCAGTGACTGCCTTAGCCGTTAATCTTCGCTTGCTAAGTTTTTGTGATCTCTTACTTAGCATTTGTGTGTGCAATATTGCAAGAATAAGCTCCGGTAGAACTCACAAACAGACTAAACTCATAACAACCAAAACGCGATTGTCCTGGTCCGAGCGAAACGAAAAAGACCTCGCCTGTATGCATTCAATCAAATGCCCCTTCGCTCGTTCTGGATATCGATAAACAAATCTCAGAGCAACGCGTAGCCCAAATTATCAAGAACCAAGTCGATCCGAAAATAATCTACAGTACTACTTTGGCATTATTCACAAATACATAAGGCAGTCATACCTCTGATAGTGAGCCTGATTCACTATCCAGCCAAAATGTTGCAAATATTCACAGAAAATATCTGCGGTAATACAAAATTAAATAAGAAAATGAGTGATTCGAATTACCTTTCAGATAAATCTGAACCAATAGGATAATTTCACACGCTTCAGCAAATCAAGAAAAATAATCTTGAGCGTTACAGCCAGAAGTTGAATGCAACCGAAAGCAACGATTAATCCAACAAAGAGTGTCCAATCGAAACTTTAGTGGCAATAAAATAAGAAAAAGCACTGAATCCCATTTACATTTAAGAGAAGTTATAACGAAGAATGATGGGGTGCTGATAGTAGGGAAATTCAATTCTTCAGAAGTCGTTTGGGCCATGAGGGTTTCGTTTAGAAGGATATTTGGGGACAGATTAATCAGCTTATTGGATGAGAAGAGCTTAATCCAACATGTGTTCCAACCTACCCGGTAGATTTTGGGGCATAGGCCGAGTAGACTGGATTTAGTAACCACTAAATAATCTGGTGACGCTGCGAACCTCCAAGTAGTGCCCTCTCCCAGGGAAAAGCGACCACGGCATTCTGCGTTCCACAGTTCCGCTCGACACTGCGAAGCCGCCTGAGAAGTGGCGGAGGAACTTCAGGAGATCACATGTACCGGCCCTCCAAGAGTGCGGAAGGACTTCGAACTGGGAAGAGGCAGGCCATTGAGTGGAAGGTCTGTGGCACCAGGTCAAAGTTAACCTGAAACAATTGACGGACAACTTTACTCCACTGAAGATGATAAGAAGGAGGGAACAGCCCTCAGGATGGAGGAGAGCATTGGTTAGAGCCCAAGCCCGGAAACATAGGACCTGGAAACTGTTTCTGGCTAATCAGGGGAACGGGCGATACTTAACTAACACGAAAGCCAGGGATGATACCATCAGGCTGCAAAAGCTGCATCGAGCTGGGTATAAGCTGGCGCTCGCAAGACGTGTCAAATCATGCATTAAGGCTTGCTTCTACCACACGCAGTCTAAGGATAAGCTAAGAGAGTCAGTAGGTACTACTGATCGCTCCTCAGGCACACTGGCCATGACAGTTAATGAAAAGGTCGAAGGCCTACTAAGCTTTTTTAAGTTTGTTTGCTCAGAAGATGACGGCCGCCAACCGGACTCCTGCCTTCACGCCTTGTACAGGAGATGCCTCAACTATACATCATTAGTGTTGAGTTAGCCGTAGAGCTCAAAAACCTGAACAAGCACAAAGTGGCTTGCCCCGACGGGCTACACCAAGCCATCATCCGACCCATGGCGGATATCCTGGCATGGCCACCGTTATCCAAAACGAATGGAAAAAGACCGAGGTTATTCCAGTATTTAAAGCCGGACGACGGGAAATACCGACCGGTAGGGCTCTTGTATATCTTACTGAAGGTGATTGAGAAATTTATAAGAAACGCCATATTAGCCACCTAACTAAGCATTGTCTGGTAGCACCACAGCAACAAGGGTTCGTAAAAGGCTAGTCTTGCCTAACGAACTTGCTGTCATTCCCTAACAATGTGACTGTCAGGCTAGACCGTGGTGACCCTGATGAAGTCTGCTATCTGGATCTGGATTTTCAGAAGGTATTTGACGCGATCAGCCATCGGCTACTTTTACCTAAGTTAAGGAACCTGCGAGTGGCTCCCGTGGTGATAAGCTAAATAGGAGAATATCTAGTAGACGAAAGTTCTACGGGAAAGTAGAAGAGTCCAGATATACCTCCGCCTTGGTCTTCACAGGGGTACCACAGGAATGGGTGCTCGGGCCTTTGTTGTTCGTAATATTTATTAGCAATCTAGCTCAAAGGCTACAATCACCGTGCTTCCTCTTTTCTTATAATGCCAAAATTGTAGGTGGACCAACCGGGAATGACATACCGCAGGACTTAAACACCATCTATAACTGGTCCGTGGTCTGAGGCCTACCACTAAACGCCGGCAAATGCAAGTAGTTAAAGCCCAAAAGTTTCCCTGTGCCATGCTACTTTAACCCCGATAAACCCCTGGTAATTCAACGCAAAGAGACAATAAAGGACCTGGAGGTGCTTATGCACCAGTCATTTAAGCCGCCACCACAATGCGCTGAGGCTACTGAGAAGGCTCAAGGGGCTTTGTTCCAGTTGCGAAAGAAACTGTTGCATCCAGGGACCCGGTAGTCCTGCTTCCACTATGCAAGGTGTTTGTTCGTCTCTAATTAGAGTACGTCGTCCAGGCATAGGCACCAACTAAAATTGGAGACAGGAACATTCTTGAAAGGATACAAAGGAGATTTGCTAAATTTCTCCCAGATCCCCCAGAGGCTGGAGAGGTTGGGACTTTCCTCTCTCAAAACGAGAAGATTGGGGGGATCTCATTGCGGCATTGAAGCTCCTAAAGAAATCACCAGCACAGGAGCCTCTATACTCAGCATAGATAGGAGCAACAGATTGAAATTGAGCAAACCCAGAGCTCTGAGGAGCATAAGAGCGAATTTCTTCTCCCATACGGTGGCAAGTGTATGGAACAGACTACCAGCCAATGCAATCTCAACCCAGACTGTGGTGCAGTTCATGGCCAGACTAGACAAGAGCTAGACTGCCCCCTTCTACGATCTTATCTGATTTCCAGGACCTTACCTCCGTGCTGCAACCTTCTCTTACGCACCCGCTTCTTCCTAGGGGCTTCTTCACTTTCCTTTATTATCGTAACAATACTTCATTCTTATCCCTCAGCTTCCTTTCGTCTTTTTACTCTGTTGTCTGGTAATATAATAAGATTGCCTAGCAGTGCGCAACACTGCTAGATGTAGGCAGATTATCCGTTCTAATCGTGCGTCGACTGTTCATTCCAGAAGCGATCCCGAAATTGTACTCTGCAATCAATGGACTGGCAAACCATCCTTGGTGAACTATAGTACTGGAAGTACTGGAAGGGGGGACATTCACGCCCACTTGAGAAAGAATTTGAACTCTCATTGGAAGTAAACTGACCTGGACTCCGCGCGAGTTGAACGTTTGAAGTGTTGCTTCCATTGATAAACTTAGACTTCCCATTATTTAACGCACTCAATCAAAGTTTAAAAGCCCTATTCTCGGGCTTTACATCTGTCCTTTCACGCCAGACTCCCTCTGTGCTGGGCCTAACGCTTTTGCCAGTCGCTTTATATCATCTGATTGACCTTATTAGAGTTTTAACTCATATTTATTGAACTAATTAAAGTACCTCTAGTGGTATTATCAAGCCACGTATTTCATTTCCATCCCTTACAGTGTCATGTAGGAGACGCGTTGTAGGGGGTATAGAATGTAGCTTTCGCGAGCAGTGGGAGCATGAAACGTACTTACAACTCTCAAACGCACTCTATAGTAGCCACGAGGATCCTCTGGGTATCTACAAAAGCTGCAAGGAAATCGCTGAAACTGCATTAAAAGACAGCCCTCAAAGCAACGTTCATGCCTAACAAACGATAAGCGCGCCGCATCCAAACGCGGTTTTATTCAAAAAATTCAAAAAGATTTGATCACTCCCTATTATCCAAGCCATAAACAAAATCCCAATTGGAGACATCTGTAGCCAAAACATTATTTCGCTTATTAAAGACCTCAGACACAACGCCAGATTACATGCGGCAGCTGACAACCAAAAAAATAAAAGGAAATTTATTTAACATAAAAAATAAAATAATTATTGATTAATATGTGTGAACTAATTTTCAGTAAGGAAAAGTACCCAAACTCCATCAATGAGAACAGCACCTTCCATAAAACTGTCATAAGCTATTCTAAATATGTTCCAAAACTTTCAGTCTGAGACCATCGTCGAATACGAAACAGAACTAACTTTTTCCAGCTTTCTTTATCAAGGCAAATTCTATGCGTCACTTCCGGTGACCTTAGTCGTTGTAGCACTTTCTTAAATAAGTCCTCTAATGAAGATCGAGGAGACAAGCCTGTCTTCTGATGCCTATTTTCCGTCCCCATTCGGTTGGTAGTTAGGTTTTCTAAAGTCAAACTAGTCCTCACGGCATACCCTGCTCACCGCTCTCGGTATGGCAACCAAATTCGGCGTAACTAAACACCTGCTTCAGTGCTACGACGTTTTACGGCGACTAGGGATATACGACACAATATCTCGCTATCACAGTACACCATGATCCGCATCCAATAAAAGATGCGCTGCTTTTAGAACGTTGGCATACCATAAAGCTAGATACATTTATTCTTCACATCTTTAACCAGATGGAAACGATAAAATATCACATTAGAGGACTGTAAGTATTCTGAAAACGCGTTGCACTGAGCCAAGCTACGATCAACTACCATAGTACTGCATTGTGCAAAGTCTGGGCACATTGCTTTCATGGCTGCCCAGTAGATCTATAGCTCTCACCGTTCTCATTTGACAAGATAGCGTAGAAGAAACTTCTACCTAAACTGGTGTCATCTACAAGCATAGCTTGCCAAAGCACGTACCCGCCACAGTTTAGCTGATGCGTTGCGTCCACTAACAAAACATTATTAAACCTGGCGACTCCGTGCAGCATTATCTTAGAAACAAAGTAAATGTGACGAACGACGCCTTGGTTTAGCCCTCTCCCTAATTCTCCAGCATATCCCAAACTTTCACCACATTGCCACGTGAATCCAAATGAGATCTTTTCTGACGTATGAATCTAATATCTGCCGTAGTTAAGGGTCTCTTGAACTTGTGTGTAGCGAAATCCCCTATCTCGCGAGTACTTCTAAAAGTGTCCACCAAAAGACACTAATAATTTTCATTTTCTTTCTTTTCTTTCCTTTTCTCCAGATAGACGACGATTATTTATATAAAAACCCCGGCCACGCAAATTCCAATGAATGCCGAGTAATGGATATTTTGCAACCTAAAACGGTGTTAAATAGATTAGAAATGAGAGCCGTAATTACCTAGTTGCAGTTTTGCCTCGCCTTCTGTGATGTACACAGCAATATTTGATGAAACACTACAGCCAAAACCCTCAGAAAAGGTCAGTTTTCGACCAAACTTTCTCTCTCGTATCAATTGTTCGGCTATCATTGATGCACAAATGTAGAGGGAAGCGCAGGTAACCCGTTGAAATTCACGGAAGTCCTCCAAGAATCAGTCCAGCAATCCATAGCAATATTTTACCATTCGTTCAAAAACGACCGTATCGTCAACATAAGCTATGGTTGATGTAAGCGTGAAAGTGATCGTCGCCATTAAGTTGCGATATTTATACTTTCCGGACAAAGTCAATTAAGGTAATTAGAACAACTTAAAATTTAACAAATCACTTAGAATCAGCCAAAAGCAAAATCTTTTCCATTTCAGCTGAATTTGACATCAATATCTCTAAAATACATCTAAAAATCGGTTGGTTTTAGAAAATCTAATAGTTTGGATGTCACGCCACTATCCCAAACAAACCTGTTGTGCTTTTTTCCGGATGGTACTGCAAGGATAGATGAGGGTAAAACCGTGGAGGTTTTTTACCTGAACTTCAGCAAGGCTTTTGATTCAGTGAATCTTCACCTGTTGTTGACCAAAATAGAAGGATTCGGAATTCACGGACAGTTGCACAGGTGGATAGGCGCCTTTCTTTCACAACGATCATTTTATGTGACGGTTGGTGAGAAAAGGTCAACATCAGTTCAGCTGACTAGCGGAGTTCCACAAGGCTCTATGACCGCTTCTATTTCTTCTCCACATAAACAACTTACCAAGCACTTTGACCTCATCGTGCTAAATTTTTCAAATGACGTCAAAGTGGTTGGTTCTAATGTGAGAAGTGATCCACAGAGGGATTTTGAGCAAGTAGCTAGATCGGCGAAGGAATGGGACCTAAGTCTTAACGCAACGAAGAGTCATGTGCTCCAAGGGACATTTGCCGGACTGGAAGTTCACTCGGACGAGCACCAGTTTGCTATCTAACTCGCTACTCGGGTTAAGGACATGGATGTAGTGATATCGAACAACTTTAAGTGGTTTGACCAGTGTGTGTGCGCAAGGCTAGGGCTGAATTACTTAGACTACGGTTCGTCCTAACATGCAGCCGACCGAATGTCTTCATTTTCGTTTACAAAACCATAGTCAGACCATACCGATAGTATTGTGTACAGGAATGGTCACCTTTATTCAAGAAGGATGCTTCCTGTTTAGAGAAAGTTCAGAGGTTGGCCACTAGAATATTTGAAGTCCAAAGGGGGAGAGTATATCAGGAAAGACTAGAAGTAATAGGGCTTTTCTAATTAGAAAGAAGGAGTCTGCAAGGATATCTGATAGAAACCTTCAAAATCATGAATGGGATACTAGGGATAGGAGCGGATAGTCTCTCTACCTTAGCTCCCCAACAAGGCACTAGGGGGTACGAGTTTAAGCTCGTGAAGTAAAGGTGTGGACTAAACATGCGGAAGCACTATTTCAGCAATAGGATATTAGATAGTTGGAACCGGCTTCTTAAGGAAATAGTAAACCTTTAAATAGTGCAGGCCTTTAAGACTGCACCTGGTAAGCGATGGGTGAAACTATTCTCATCTCTGGCAGTGTAGAGGAGCCTAGGTGTGCCGAATGTTCAGGATGCTATTTCCCTTTTTCATTGGTGCACGCAATGGAACGTTCAGGTCTAACAATTCACTCGTCAATTTGGTGAGATAAAATCCTATTTCTCATTCTTGTTTCATCAGAGCTGGGTGCCCACGTAGTGAGCATACCATCAAAGGAATTCTGGACGCTCGATTGGCCGTGGCCATATTTAGTTCTGTGTAACCTGACATGACTTCGGTCGGTTACGCAGGACTTGCGGCTGTTGCCAATGCGCCCAGTTCCTTGCACTTGTGAGCTCTGATGCGATCCCACTGTGCTTCGACTGCAGGAGAAGTTTGTGATCCTTCTCTTTAGGTTTCTGGATGACGGTCAGCTTGAGGTACAAACAAGATGTTGGAATGTTCAATCGGTAATATAAGTAGACTTGACCTGACCTGAACCTTGACATGAGTGCCGCGCGGCTTGAAATTTTGAAGTGCTTTGTGTTGTGGCTAACATTATCGTCAATGCAGTGAAATAATGTTAGTTATTTCACAAATTTTACGAAGTTTTAGTATACCGGTGTTGTTTAACGCTATCCGGAGTTTATATTCTCCGAAATAACTAATTTTGCAGCGTTTTTTCGTGCTAACTTTGGTGTGTATCATACCCGGTGTTTCCTTCCTTTGAAGATGACAAATTTTGTAACTGTAATCTTTTTTGTTTGTGGTATGTCACTAGTATCTTATATTTGTCTCAAGAAAGAGTGCAGTAAGGGTGTGGTAAAGAGAAATGGCGTGCGATGTGTGCAAGAGTAGAGCCCACCCTAGGTGCTCGCGTATCACTGCAGATGTGCACACACTGTGCTGGCACAGTAAGTGGGCCGAATGGGTATACACGCGCTGCAAGGAACCAGGACTTCTTGCGTTTGAACCTCAGTCACAGAAGGTAGAAACACCACACACGAAGAGCATCCCCGTTCATTTGGGAACAAATTCACTGCCCGTGGCCGCAGCGCGTCGGTCATATGCAGAGATTACCTGCACTCCA